CTTTTAAAAAAAAGTCTTTAAAAAGGGGATTCTGCTTTAATTCAGGTACAATCATGTGCAGCAGACAGTGTTAGATTTGGCAGAAACCTATGCATGAAACTGAATTAGGCTATCTTATTTCTTATTAGACTGACATTTTGAAAATGCAAATAAAAATATTGGTTAAAGAAAAAAGACTGACATTTGGTTGAAGGGCCGCCTTTGTTATTTTAAAAAAAGAAAGACCAAACTTTTTGGCTTGTGGAGATCAATCAGCAGCATGTTCAACAACCCTAATGTCATTATTTTGTTTCTTTTTATTTCACTGTTGAATCTTTTCAGCCCCCATCCAAACTCTGAATCATACCACGTGAGCCCTGTAGCCTTCAGAGATCATCAGCATATTGTTATTGTTCATTTACTATCTGCAAACTTTTTTTTTTTTTATATATACTATAAAGATCATTCTGACAACTTGTTGTTCACACTTTAATTTACATCCTGTTAAAGTTGCTTTTAAACCTTTGCCACCATCAGAGCACCTCCACATTTCTTACAGCCCCTTGCTCCCCTCTTGTTCCACTCCCCCCCTCACAAACTCCCTTGTGGATTATCAATAGGCTAACGTTACAGTTTATTGATTCTGCTGCTGTAGCAACAGTAAACATAAAGCTGTTCCAGGTCATCCATGGTTGCTTACTGAGTCATCTTGATAAATGCATTACTTTGTGTAACTAGGCTCGTGTCTTTATTCATTTTATCAGCCTGTTTTTCAGAGTTCTTTATAAACTGTATTCCAATAACTAGTTAACCCAGCTCTAGTTCTGCATCTATTCACTGACATTTTCTTACCTTTTTATTAACAACAACTCAAAAACTATTACATTTATTGTCGTAAAACAGGCAGCTTCTGGATCTTTGTAATACGAGGCAGAAAGATACCAGCAGCTAGTTAGAGTGCTGATGAAGATCAAGTTTAACAATTAACACTTTAAAAAAACAGTTAAGCCACTGAATTGATGGAGAATAGTGTCTGGTGGACAAACATATCAACCAAGTGGCTAACATTGCCGCTCATATATGATACCATAATAAACTCAGCAAAGTGGTAGTTCAGAAAAAAACGGCCTTTTATTAAAGGCTCTCTGCTTCCTGTTGTCCGGTGTTGCCATAACAAGAGAGCTGACAGGCTGTCAAACGTGGGAGGCTTGAAAACAGGTGCTGTGGACCCTCACTTCACTGACACAGTGTGTTTCCACTTCTGTTTGAGCTGTTCAGAGTCTGATAATAGCCTCATTACCCAACACTACAAATGTGCATCACAGATGCTTCCTTCAGTCCTCAGTGTGGGCTGGAGCTTCTCATCTTCCATATACCCAGATTTTCATTCCCATGCCAATATATGATCAACAGCTGATCCTCTTCATGTTCTCAGGAATCATGTCTAAGGGACCAGCAGTGGGCATTGACCTGGGCACCACCTACTCCTGTGTAGGAGTGTTTCAGCACGGCAAAGTTGAGATTATTGCCAACGACCAGGGAAACAGGACCACACCCAGTTATGTTGCCTTCACTGACACAGAGAGGCTGATTGGAGATGCAGCCAAGAATCAGGTGGCTCTGAACCCCAACAACACTGTATTTGGTATGAAATGTTTTTTTTTATAGACTAATCAAATATGATCATTTAAAATGCTTCTGCTCCATGTTTTAATACTTTTTATTGTCCTTCAGATGCAAAGCGTCTCATTGGACGTCGCTTTGATGACAGTGTTGTCCAGTCAGACATGAAATACTGGCCATTTACAGTCGTAAGCGAGGATACAAAGCCCAAAGTTAAAGTGGAGTACAAGGGCGAGACCAAGACCTTTTCCCAGAGGAGATCTCTTCGATGGTGCTCATTAAAATGAAAGAGATCGCAGAGGCTTACCTCGGAAAGGTACACCTGTGTTGTGTCTCTATACAAGTATTCTTAAGAATTATTTGTTTGTAAACTTAATGTTGAGAGTGTGAACAGGTATCTCAACATCTCTACCTTCTTCTTTCAGACTGTGTCAAATGCTGTTGTGACTGTGCCAGCCTACTTCAACGACTCTCAGCGCCAGGCCACCAAAGACGCAGGGACCATTTCTGGCTGAATGTCCTTCGTATCATCAACGAACCAACTGCCGCTGCTATTGCTTATGGCCTGGACAAGAAGGTGAAATAACTCTTCAGCTTTTTACAAGACAAGTTTTTCGTTTCAGGATTATACAATTATAGGATATTGACCACACTTTTTTCCACCAATGAAATTCAGATTTAAATGTGTACTTGTTGATCCTAAGCCCAAAGTGCTTCCTGTACAAATTACAGGTTGGAGCTGAGCGAAATGTTCTCATCTTTGACCTGGGTGGTGGCACATTTGATGTCTCCATCCTGACTATTGAAGATGGCATCTTTGAGGTCAAGTCCACAGCAGGCGACACACACTTGGGTGGAGAAGACTTCGATAACCGCATGGTCAACCACTTCATCTCCGAGTTCAAACGCAAGTTCAAGAAAGACATCAGCGACAACAAGCGGGCAGTACGCCGTCTGCGCACAGCGTGCGAGAGAGCCAAGCGCACATTGTCCTCCAGCACTCAGGCCAGTATTGAAATCGATTCCCTGTACGAGGGAGTCGATTTCTACACGTCCATCACCAGGGCTCGATTTGAGGAGTTGAATGCAGACCTTTTCAGAGGAACCCTGGAGCCTGTGGAAAAGGCTCTCCGTGACGCCAAGATGGACAAGGGTCAAATCCATGACATCGTCCTGGTTGGAGGTTCCACTCGTATTCCAAAGATCCAGAAGCTGCTACAGGACTTTTTCAATGGGAAGGACCTCAATAAGAGCATTAACCCTGACGAAGCAGTGGCCTATGGAGCAGGTATAAACCATTTACCATAAAAAAAATACCAGTGCACTTATAAAGATGTATGACAGAAGAGTTAAACGTGTGAAACAAATATTCCACCCATTTGTTGTGCAGCTGTGCAGGCAGCCATCCTGTCAGGCGACAAGTCAGAGAACGTGCAGGATCTGCTGCTGCTGGATGTGACCCCCTTGTCTCTGGGCATCGAGACGGCTGGAGGAGTGATGACTGTTCTCATTAAGAGGAACACCACTATCCCCACAAAGCAGACCCAGACCTTTACCACCTACTCTGACAACCAGCCTGGTGTCCTCATTCAGGTACGACCACCATGGTTTCCCCCGAAAATGTATCTTTTTCTTTCTTTTTTTTTTTTTTGAAAGGTATTTTTTAATGATGATCTGATCTGATATTTGCAGGTGTTTGAGGGTGAAAGGGCCATGACCAAAGACAACAACCTTTTGGGTAAATTTGAGCTGATTGGAATCCCCCCTGCACCCAGAGGGGTCCCTCAGATTGAGGTGACCTTTGACATCGACGCTAATGGCATCATGAATGTGTCTGCTGCGGACAAGAGCACAGGGAAGGAGAACAAGATCACAATCACTAACGACAAAGGTAACCTAAAGTTTCAACTTCATTGTGTATCTAAATGTCAAAGTTTGATGTTTGTTATTGAGCTTTGTGTCGTCTGACATCACATCCCCCAGGTCGCTTGAGCAAGGAGGACATTGAGCGTATGGTCCAGGAAGCGGAGAAGTACAAGTCTGAGGATGAAGTGCAGAGAGAGAAAGTGACGGCAAAGAATGGTTTAGAGTCGTACGCCTTCAATATGAAGTCTACTGTGGAGGACGAGAAGCTGAAGGACAAGATCAGCGACGAGGATAAACAAAAGATTGTGGACAAGTGTAACGATGTCATCAGCTGGCTGGACAAAAACCAGGTAAGAATAAAAATGAACTATGGCCACTTCAAACAGTTTTGCTAGCACAGATTGCTTCTCAAACCTTTCTCTGACTCTGGCTCTATTCTCAGTCTGCAGAAAAAGAAGAGTTTGAGCATCAGCAGAAGGAGTTGGAGAAGCTGTGTAACCCCATCATGACCAAGCTGTACCAGAATGCAGGTGGTGCACCCGGAGGGATGCCAGGAGGGATGCCAGGGGGGATGCCCGGCGGATTCCCAGGAGCTGGTGGCGCCCCTGGAGGAGGAGGAGCCGGCCCCACCATCGAGGAGGTCGACTAAACTCAAAAGGCTGTCAATACTTGCATGAGCCTGTTCTCTTTCCTCTGACAAAGGTTGGTGTGAAGAGTGATCACAGTCATATATCATATGAATTACTACATTGTAACACTCAGAACCTTTAACCAGCTTACTCAGCATACTTTTTTTTTTAAATTTAATTCAGCACTCTCACTGTGGTTTTTCCAGTTGTTGGTCTTTTCAAGCGACTGATTTTTTTGTTCACTTAAACCTGTTCATGTTTGCATTACCACGATGTGTTTTTATTTGAGCTGTTCGTTCTGGCTGTAATAGTCTTTGAAAATACAATTCAATAAAAGATTTTTGGAACTTGAACTCGTTGCATTACATTTTATCACGTTTCATTATAAAAGCAAGTTATTCCATGTTGATTTGAACGTGTTAAAGTACACATTATGCAAAACAACTTTAGTGACATTTGTAGAGATTTGCAGTAACTGCAGGTACCCCTGAGGTTTTCATGCTGCTTTGCATTCATTCATTTTGTCTTTGTCTACATCTGAATCATCTGATTGCATCATCTTTGGGATGAACTTGAACTTGTTTTGAAGTTTCATCTTTTGTAGTCAACCTTTTTATGCTTGGTCGATGAAACCATTTCTTCACAACATTAGAAGGGACTAGAAAGACAGGAAATCCACAAATAAGAGCTGGAGAACACATCTGTTGACTTGTTAGATAATTACCTTTTTACAGACCTTTTTTTTCTGAAGGCATATTTTTGTCACTGTACAAGTTGTTATTTAAACCTGACAGGTTATCTGATCCCAAATACAAGGAGCTACTGTAGCAGCAGGCTGATGAAGATAGTGTTGATCCTTTGTATTTGTTTTAGTGATGTGGAGAGAGCAGACAACAAAATACATTATGTATTATCTCGTTTATTTTGCTTATTCATGGATATATATGTTAACAGAAAGTGGTTGTTAAGTTAATATGGGTGTTAATTAGTTCCTCTTGGCCTAATATAATGGACCAGTGCTTATGTGTGTGTGTTGAAGTTTTTTGGCAGGTCAGCGCGAGTTAGAGTTTCTTGGGCATTCGTGCATCCGATAGGCACACATGTAGAAGATACCTGAAAGACAATCAGATAATTATGTCTTTTTTTTCTTTTTTTTTTGCAAAACCACATTATCTTATCAGTAAGTGTGTTACTTCTCACCTGAGAAGAATGTGAGCACCACTGCCACCCAGCCCATTATGTAGGACCAGGAGAACCGCCAGCTGCCATAGCGTTTACCGTAGTAGTTCACTGTCACTCCTGTGTACACAGCCATGGCCAGCAACACAAAGAAGCCTGCACAAGAGAACAAGCCTCCAATTAGAAATGATGTACGTCTTCTCAGACTGAGGTTCAGCTGTGTCTGAGGAGCTCACAGGAGATGAAGAAGAGGATGCCCGCTGCAAATGTCTTGTCAAAGCCGTCAAAGGAGGAGTAGTGGATGAAGGCCATGACCCCGATCACGATGCCAATGAAACAGGCCAGCAGGGAGAGAATCATGAAGGCACGAGTGGCATCCCAGTACGCTGAGGGTGAGAGGAGGAAAAAGAGTGAGGCCTAAGAGACCAGACATTTGAAGGTATTACAGACAACCAGCACACATTACTTAATTATGTGAGTAGTTGAACGTTAAAGTCAGTCATACTTTTCTTTAGCCGCAAGTTGCAGCTCAAAGTGTTCGGATTTGCACCTGATATGATGAATGAGACTTTTTTCTTGAATTTTGAGGAGCTAACTCTTAAATTGAACTTCCACAAATCTAAAAAAAATATCACAATAACCTGAGAAAAATGGGAGGGTTTTTAGGACAATTTTCTATATGACATACTGTACATATTACAGTATGCTCATTTCTAACCTCTTTGCACTTGACTCATCTATATGTTACCAGCCTCAAAGCAAAGCTACCCCATTGTTTATACGGATTAGTGCAGAAGTCACACACTGTCAGCAGACTATGACAAAAATAAACCAGGATGTGCTGCACTGCTTGTGCTCATGCTTTGGAATAGAACCCCCCCCGCGCCTCTCACCGATGCTGTCTGTGTGTGTCATGCATTTCCCAGGCACACAGTACCGCCACAGGCCCTGGTGCATGTAATTGCTGGAGTGACGGTACTGCATCCAGTAGTCAGTTGCCGTGGAGACAATAAGGAGTATGTTCCCGACTCCAGCGCAGAACAACCCACCTCCCATGAAGCTGTACATCCTGCCAAAAAAAAACACTGACTGACAAACAGAGAGAGATGAGAGCGGGTGAGGGTCTTGCAACACTTGGCCCATGCAACACTTTCTGTTACAAAGGAACAACTGGAAGAACAGCCTAAAATTATCCAAATACATTCAGCAGGATCACATGAATACATATATTAGTTAACCGAGGTTGGGCCAAAAAAAGATTTTTTGAAACTTATTTTTTCTCTTGTTAAACCAACCAGGTTTCCCAAATTACCAAACATATACACCGAATATGAGGAAAAAGGTCTGAAGTAATGTTAAAAACAATTTGACTTTTATTCAAAGTTGCACCCAGAAAAAAAAACATTTTTGGTTTTGAAAGTTTATAATACCTGGGGTTTTTCCAATTTTAATTCACTTAAGGACCTTTTTTTTTTACAAGGGGTTTGCTGACAACTCTAGCGATAAAGAAACACTTTGATAGTCTTTCTAAATATACAAAATTTCACACAGGTATAAAAACAACATTTTATGCTTTTAGTTTTTGGGGTTATAAATGACCTACCTTTATCTTTTACTCAGAAAAAGTCAGAGATTCCAATTTTTGGGGTTGTCAAAGCACCGAGGAGCCCGATATTGCCGTGTGTGGCAGGAAAGTTTTGTTTGTACGAAGGAAACCAAGCGAACAAGCGGCCTGATGGAACAATGGAGCATGCTGAGCCACAACCAATCACAGAGGATGAGTTTTGTGTTTTAGGGAATCTGCTGAAAATACAAAACTGTTAAAGCGCTGCGCACATCTCAGTAATTCTGATGACACAGGGCCTTTCATTCAAACCACTGTACACCCCACACACAGTAAACTCAGGGCCTGCAACAGGCTAAGCCAATGTCAGTGCTGGAAAAGTTGCATTTAACAGAGACTACTTTTAATAGTGAAAAATGTCTTTCATTCATTCTAATTATGTTTAGCTGATGTGTTTTTGGAAAATCATTCGGTCAATTATACAGTTAAGAAAATCAGCATTATTTTCATAGAAAATTAGGGTCAGTTCTGGCTTTTAAAACATTTTTCTGGACCAAGTTGTTAAAATAATTTAAATACAAGGTGTGCTGTGTTTTAAATTTACATAAAATCAATCACGTTTTTTTTATGTATAAAATAATGAAAGCGCCTTCGCTCTCTCATCATAACAATAAAACAGAACTGAAGGGTTTGTCATCGTAGATTTATTCTCATATATTCAAAGTCCACTAAGCCGATGAAGGAGAATTTATTTAATTATAGATAAAACGTGTTCAGACTCATTGACATTTAAATACATGTAATGGTTTCTTTACAACAGTTCAGTCACAGGACAGTGGGAAGACTTAAAGCAAAATTATGCTTTTATTTTATTTAATGGAGTGCTACTACATCTTTGGACTACATATAATTATCACCACCTTTGTATAAGCCAGTATAAGGTCACTCCTGTCTGACTTCTTGCTTCTCTCGTTCCCTTTTCTCTTCTTAGCTGCTTCCATCAATGTCATTTCTCTCAGTCATTTTGTCCATACTAACAACAAAACTAAAACAACTAGAAGTTTGTCTTTACATCTTTCTGACAGACGGGCATTCTGTGTGTCTCTTGGGATAGTTACCATCAATGCCAGCAAACTAGTATAAGATCAGGCATTTAGGACCGTGAATAAAAGAAACACCATTGTCCCTCATTACAAGCAAGTGCACACTCAAACTTTGAAATTATTTTAAGGTTAAAAAAAAAGTAAAAGTTGGGTAATGTTTTCTCTTGGCAGAACAGAGAGAGATGAGTTGGCAGGTGTGAGGCTGATAAGTGTCGTGGGTTTGAAAAGTTTCAGCAAAGAAGCTGCATAATGATAAAATAAAATAATGAAAGTGATTTATCTTTGTTGCCACTTCTTGTAGAGAGTGTGGGAGTTGAAAAGACTAAGAAAGATGGATTTCTTTGTTGTGTTGGAAGTCATAAAGAAGGCCAGTTTGTGAGGAATTTTTCAGAGAGCTTTGATTGAATCAGAAAAGCAACTCGATTTGTATTTCAGACCAGTCTCCAAAAAAGATAGAACATATTTTCTTTATTTCCATCACCAGGTCATAAAAAGTAAATATGTCTTCTGATTGAGTCACATTAGTCTGAAGCAAATTTTAAAACCCGGCTCACAAGTTTTTTAATGGCTAATTTTGGAGTGTGTAAATGTTTCACTGCAGAGTATTTTATCATCATCACATAATTGTTCTTTTAGTGTGTATTGTGGTGCACTGTTATGTTTTGTTTTTGCTTAACATGATCTCATCCCCCTCCTCCTCCTCCTCCTTCTTCTTCTTCTTCTTCACCTTCTGGACTGTATTTGTCTCTTTTTCTCATGTCTGTCCTTTCTTATATTTCGTTTATTACTGCTGCCATTTTGGCCAGGCCTTGCTCGAAAAAGAGGTCATTTGATCTCAAGCAATTCTTGCCTGGTAAAATAAAGGTAGAATAAAAAATAAATAAAAATACCCTAAACCAAAACAATGGTTTTTAACAAGTTGCTGGAATCCTCAATGAAGTCAAACAATGCACAGAAGATGTAGATGTAGGTGTTTAACTCTGTAACTAAAGGACATTACTTTCTTTAACAATCACGTTGAAATCACTTTGAAATGAATGAAGGCTGAATTCGATGCAGCTGCTTTAGTCTCAGGGCCTTGGTGGTACTGTGTGTGCTGGCTCTCTGTCATACTGTCATGATTCATGTGGAAAAGAGCCATAAATACTATTCATAATACCCAAGATTTTCTAACAGGTTTACATTTTCAAAGAGTTTTACTGATAACCAGCTAAATCCAGAATGGAGTCACCGGGCTTCAGAGTCAATCTCATGTCTCAATTTTGACCACTAGATGGAGCCTTTCATCAAGTCTGGCAGGCAGTAATGAATCGAGGGTTTGAATTCCTTTCACGTGATTTAGTTTGAGAAAATGTAAGTCTTGATTCACTGACATTCACTTTATGACAACCTTCAGTCTTGTGTCTTTTTATATTTTCTTCTCTTTCCTTCTATTCTGTTGCTGCTGAAAGCAAATTTACAATGAACTTGCCTTGAACTCGGCTTATTTTGGACGATATGAATATATACATGTAACGTCTGTGAGTTTACAGCTGAAGGGTCAAAGTATCAACTTCATTAAGGACACTTTAGAAGGATTATCCTGCTGCCTATAGGGCTATTTTAAATTATTCACACAGAATATTTTACTTATTTTATTCAGACATGAGCATTTTGTTATTTTCCTTTTCATTACAGTTAGTGGGATGGATGGAGGCTTATTGATGGTAATATAGCTGCTTCTTTGTGCAACACTGACTATTAAATGAGGTGTAATTCAGAGTAATATTTCACTCACTGAATCTTTTTCTTATGGTTCATATACGAGTACTTCTGACCTTCACTGTGAAAAAATAAGAATGTGCAGAGTTTAAAAACAGAAGGCCATTTGTACTTCCAGAGGAAGTGTTTCTTTGTGTTCAACTTGAATCTCAGTTCAAAACATGAACCGAAGAGCTGATGTTTTTTCTCAAGGATTACAACCGGTTTGGAAGCCCAATGTGGAACCTTGGAACCTGCACTGCACTACACAAATCCTACTGAAACCAGTCTGGAGGGTATCTTCTGAAGTACTGTAAATGTCAGGTACAACACATGATGAAGAAAAAGAAAGAGTTGATCCATTGGAGTCCATTTGTTAATACATGTTGCAGGTCTGTGTGGGAGGGGTGAGGAGTGTAACCCACAGAGTCTCTAATCCATGCAGGCCTAAAAGCATAACATTGTAGAACCCTTCTAAATTGCATAACCCCTTCAAATTGCATCGGATTACCATTATCCTCCCGGCCTGGAGGGACAAAGTCGGTAAATGCCAAATACAGTCGAGTCGAACTCAGTTACCACAGCACACATTTCCCCACTAGCCAAAATACCGAAAGTGCTTCAACCCAAGAAATCTGCTCACAAGAGGCTTATACAGCGCATCAAGGTGCAGACATGAAGAGAGCCTTTTTTTATCTCCTTTTATATTGCCGACACATTTCAGGAGTCGTACAGTGAGAATACACTCATCTCCTCTCATTAAGCCTCATTCACAAAGATGCCTCCTCAAAAAGCTGAAGAAGCCATTAAATCTGAGCCTACACAGTATCCTGTATCAGAGGAGTGGGTTGCTGTGAGTATGAAATGAGAAAACTCAAAATTCTGTCAGACCTCAGAGACATTTGACTCTGATGAAAAAAATCTGAGCTTTCTCAGCTGAAAAAGGCATCTTAATCATACAGCACATATAGACACGACTATTTTTATGTCACAAAGATAACATCTTTTGTTCGGTTTACTCAAATGATCTGTACTAAAGTATTTATCTTTTTCAATATTTTACTGAATCAAACACTTTTGTATCAACTATCTTCATATTTATGACTCAGAGTCCAGCTAGCAGCTCTGTGAGGATGCACATTCCAAAAAAGTTTTTGCATGATGTTGTGTAATTTTTCTGGCTCCACGCCATTGTCTTGTGTAATACCCTTCAGATTCTCACTATGGATCAGTTGAATTTAACATCAATTATCACTGATTCTATCAGAAACAGAAATGCTTTATTTATTGCCGGGGGTAATTTTGTGATGAAAAGATGTAGATTTTAAGCAGTATAACTTACAGACATTAACCCGATGACGATCAACTTTTTGACCCTTCCAAATGAAAAGAGTTACACAAATTATTCAGACCTGGACTGCGGCCAAGCAACTTAGATATCTGTCTTGCGCAAAGTTAACATTCATGGTTTAATTCTAATATTATTTGAGGAGATGTGTCCATCTCTTCAGTGCAGTTTGCTACAGTCTAGACTGTCAAGTGTAAGGTTCAGTTCAGTTCAGTTAAATTCAGATCTTTATTGTCCCTGGGAGGGAAATTTGATTTGCAGCAGTGGACACAAAAGCACAACAGATAAACAGACATAGGACAGTGCAACACAACCTGATCAAATACAACCAAGAAATATAAAAAAATGTCACTGTTCGTTTAGAAGTTTCACTCAAATGGTATAAAGAAATAAATATAAAGTGCAATAGCTCTGCTTGAAAGTGCAGTCAAGGATTTAAAGAAGATTAAGAGCATTAATTGCACGAGGAACATGTGAAAATGTATATCGGTTTGCCTTAGCCCTGGGCAGCCTGTACCTCCAACCTGAGGGGAGAAGAACAAATTCCTCTAATTGAGGATGGTCAGAGCTGGACAAGATGATCCCACACCTCTTCACCTTTAATCACTGAGTGTGTTTACAGGTCAGATGTAAGCTGCCCTTTACTCTGGTTCATTATGAAACATTAATCAGAGCTCATTAACTGCCTCTTCTCCAATCAAATAACTGGGTCATGTAACTCAAGTTTTGTTTATTAATCACAAAAACAACGTATATAACTAATAGCATTCCTTATTATGTTTCTGATGCCCATAAGTACGCTTTGATTTTTGGCTGTCTCCTACAAAAGGTAACGAGGCTCAATGTTATGTAATATAATACTAAACCAAGAGCACAGATTGCTTATATGTACACCCACATTATCAAGTTATTGCCATGAGTTAATTCTCCACTGTGCTCCTTAACGCCTTGGCTAAAGAGACACAATCACATTTCTGACCTGAAGAGGGGCCTCAATTAAATTAGTTATCGTGAACGTTTGTACCCCAATTCATGGATATCATTTAATCCTCCTTGAGTCTCGCAACCGAAATACTATCCACCGGTTGATTTCCTTCCCTAAAAATGTCAAATAAATTACACATGAACAGAATATTTTCATAATAAATGTTTTATTGGTTTAAAAATCTTGACAGAACACACTGGTGATCTACAGGAATACCACAGTACACAGCCGCACAGAAATGAGAGAGCATTACAGTAACACACACACACACACACACACACACACACACACACACACACACACACACACACACACACACACACACACACACACACACACACACACACACACACACACACACACACACACACACCTCACACATGCATAACCACATGATGGTTTATTAACACGTTTCCTGCCTCATGTCCTCTCCAGTCTTTCTTAAAACACACACATCATCATGGTTCCATGGTCAGGAGTAAACAGAAGATACATTCATTAATCTGCTGTTCATTTGTGTGATAGTTACATTTATGTCCCAATGCCTAAAAATACAGATTTCCTTTTTGTTTTTATAACCCCGGATCCATTTTTAGTAATATATCTATTCATGTTTTTTTTTTTTTAAATGCAAAGATGTTTATATACATGGAGACAGGGTGAAGAAAATCACAAAAAAAAATCAAGACTCAATCATTGGGAGGAAATAAAAATTGTTTGTGAAAAAGGCAGATGGACAGCCTGGACGCTTTTCCCCTAAGACTTTAGCTTTTCAATAGTTACCATGGCAACAGATTGGTGGTCACAAAGACAGGAATCATGGTGGGAAATGGAGGATGCCATGCCTCGTAGTCTGCGCCTCACTACATGAGGTTCTGAAAGGAAACAAGCAGAAAACAGAGTAATGAGAGCAGGTTAGAGCGAGTAGTTTTTTTTGTGTGCAAAAATTCAGAGAAGCGTTTTTAACTACTTTTTTTTTTTTAAATCATAAATGCATGACATATATGTCAACCGTTTTTTTTTACTTTAGATTTTTAACCCTGTGATGCAAACTTCATGGCAATGACAGGATGCTTTATGCTTCTTTCATTTTTGAGCCATAGAGGCCGGCCCAAATCCTAATTGCTGTCTCCACCTTCATTACATTTGTAATCATTTCCCGTTGTCAGTTAAACGTTATCAGCCAGGCCAGCCCAAAAACACTTCCACAGACACCTGATTTTAAGCTTTGGAGTTCCCTGAAAAATATTTGTCTGGCCTTTCTAGTCATAATCAGCTCTGTGTGACCCTATTTAGAACGAAGGATTAGGTGGTTGAACCAAATTTTATATTCTGAACTCATGTATTAAATATTTTCCAACAAAACAGTTTTGTGTTTTTTTTAAGTAACTTTTGGGCTTTTTTGTCTTTATAAGATAGGACAGTTGAAGACAGACAGGACTATGGGAAGAGAGAGTGGGGGATGAATGCGAACGCTGCAGTGATTACTTTAGCCTCCTCACATTGGGGCACATGACATAACCACCAAACTATCTAGGCCCCAACACAACTGTTTGAGGGCAAAAAAGGAAGTGACAATCATCAGTTTGGTGGTAGAAGAAACTCTGAGATGTGTGTGAAGCAATGAGAGCTGTAACAAACCAAATATTCAACATGAACCAATCAAATTTGGTTCACACTGGATATCGTCAAGTTGAGGTTTGACTTTCACTTTATCTACCGTTATTTCTCTTGTGGTGCCCTACGTATCCTGCAATGACTCTCCACTGCACCGAAAACACTGCAAAGTCACAT